GCTGGATCCGCAGCACTTGATTTCCCACAGCACTACCCTCCATTTTGCCAGTGGTGTACATGTCCAGTTAGTGGAAGATGAACATTAAAACCTTCCTTGCACCATGCACCTCTGAAGTGATTTTCTCCTTGTTCAAAGCACTTGCAGCCAAGGGACAAATTCCCAAAGAAGCATGGCTGTACTAAAACAGGGCGTTATTAGATACTGTTCTTTTATTTATTGCACATAATATATTGCCAACCCTGAACTTTCAAAAATCACGAGTCATGCTCCAAAAAGCCATGGGACTGACTTAAAAATAAGGATATTCAACACAAATAGTTTTCAACTTCTTTTTATATGTCCTCCAATCTTTGAGCCTCAGGGAATTACTTGTGTCAGGTTTTAGCCTTTTCTCTGCAAACGTCAGGGCTAGAAACTTAGCCCTCCTACCCCGCCTTTTTTTAAAGTGAAATTCTCGGGGAATCCTATGCCTCCAGGAAGTGGAGCTTTGAATAATCAATCAATAAATAAAATTACACAACAGCAAATCCTGTGAGAATTGGAAGAGTTGGTGAAGTTGCTTGTATGCTATTAAGCTCCATTCTGCAGTGTCTGGGTGTCAAGTGGGAAAAGGACACAGATAGCTTCTTCTTTCCCTTTGTCGACTTGTGTAGCAGTGCAGCAAGATAGGCTTTCTGGCACCTTCTTGGACATCACAACATGGCCATAAGATTGTTTGTACCAGAAATGCCAACTTTAATTTTAAAATATATATTGAAACCCACTTCACGGTGAGAAGCTGTTCTGGAGGGAGAACATGGTTAGGAATTTTACTTTACTTAAGAGGAAGCCTTTTTAATAAGACTTTTTTTTTACTAAGGGTTTTTTTTTCCTTTTAATATATTGTTTCATTGAATTTAATTCTAGGAAATTTTTTTTTCATGAGGTGACTGAAGCCATGAAAGAGACTTCCTGGTCCCAGATGTGCTGTCCTTCCTATAGTAAAATATATATATATTTTTTTCCCTGAAGCATCTGGCAGGGAGGCATCACAGTGCTCAAGAGCTGTCTGCAGTTAGTCTGGGTCTAAATGAATAAATCACAAAAAATGGGGAAAACTATCCATCATTTTGTACTTTGTTTTTATTGGCAACAATACAAGAATAAGTTCTATCCCAACAAATTTGTTGGCAGCATATGTTTTAAAATGACCTAAAAATGTCTAAATCTGATTTTAGAAAGTGACTTTCAAATCATGGAGGCAACAATCAGGGATTTAGTCTGATCTCATTTTTGCTGTTGCAAATCAAGAACTGATCCATTGATTTTATTGATTTAGACCAGTGCTATATGAGACTTATTTCTATTCCCCACTCTCCTCCACTGTACCTGCTCCATGCACATCAGCACATTGGGCTACAATGTCAGATGGTTTAAATCTGCACTGAATCGAACAGAGGTTTGCTGATTTGCCTCAGACATGGTTCTAGCCAGAGTCAAAGATGCTCTACTATATGGTAGCAAGCTTTTCAGTGTGATTTTTTAAATTCCCTCTTTGCAATAACTATCAAATGGAGGGCTAAATTTCAAGTCAGCCTTTCATTTTGCCTCTGTCTCCAATTAAAGCCCATGTGCCTAGACTAAATTATCTGCCTAAATGATGACCTTTGGATATCCATCTTCTCAGCCAAATATGTGATCAAGAGATAGCAGAGGGCCATCCTTTTCTCTAAACTGATTGCACTCATGATCCGGCAGTTACCAGAATGGGAAGCCAGAGATACATATTGGGTCCTGTATTTTACTATACTAATTTGGTCTGCTTGGAACACAGCATTTAAAAAAGCAGTAAATACGATAGCCCTGATTCTGCAAAGAGATGCTCGGGGTCAGAACTTGGTGGCCTCGTGGAGTCTCCACTAACTTCACTGACATCCTATTTACTGGACTGGGGTATATATAAAAATATAAAGATAACAGTGCATGGAAGATCTATATCCACTAGTATTACTGGAGGGGAAGCAACCAGGGTGGAGCTACCCAGTTATGCTTCTGTCCATACCTGTCACCAACAAAGGAAAAATATAATAAGTCACCTTCCAATTAACACTATAATTACTCTTTTGAAAACCTAGTCACTGCATCCTGTTCTGCCCCCAGTTATTCCTATTCTTGTTTGTGGGCTTCTACTTGTTTTTCCTTGTTGAACCTGAGACTTTGGCTCCTTTTGTTGTAATAGCATGTTAGCTGCCAGGCACTTGACTCATGTGATCTCCCTGATATCTGGAACTCTCTTTAAATTAGTATTTGGGTTCCTTATCCTAATGCCCAGTCCAATTGTGCACATTTTTTGCTTTTACAGCCCAAATAAACACAGTCAAAAATGCTTTAGATCTCACTATGTTTATGCCACATCATACTGGCATAAAAGAATGTAAAGGCTTAAAGAGTGCTATGAGACTGGGTGATTTAAAGCAGTATCTGCTCTTCAGAGGAGACTTTAAATCAACCCTGATTTATTTTTGGAATGAAAGTAGTCATATATATAAAGCTGCTAAAATGTAAACTCCATGTCAGAAGTAAAAGATGCATCTCTATATTGCTGTACATGATCTAATAAAGGAAACTGTTTATGAAAAGCGATGTATTTAGCATTCTGAGTCATGTTTAATATGCTTTTCTTATACAAAACACATCTCAGGTCAAACTAGTAAATAATGAATCATCCACAAAATTCAGCTCATTTCCTATCTCTTGGTGCAAAAAAATGTTGATTCCAGGCATGGGAGTGTAACTTTGAGCCAAACAGTAATTTCTTTATAGTGTGCATGACTCATAGGAAAGAATGTCTCATGAGGATAGAAATACGAAAAAAAAAATCCCTAAGAACATTGGCTTTAAAGAGATATACAAGCAGATTCTGCGCTTTACCAATCACCTTTGCACCAGGCCCTCCAGCCTAGAAATGGGATAATGCCTCTTTAACTGCTTCCCATGTAATTTTTGTTGCAAGAGGCGTCATAAAACTGGGCCTGGGCACAGAAGAGGCAGAGCGTATGGATAGAGTGCACTGTGCTCAAGGACCAGGACAAGCCGTGCAGCTGGAGAATCATACAGAAATCTGGCTGGAAGGGACCTTGAGGACGTCAACCCCCTGCCCGACGTAGCATCATCCCTATCCAACCCATTCCATACAAATCCATTGTCTAACTTCTTAGCAAAACTACGCAGTCAACCCTGACACAATACAAGACATAATACCCTAACCTGTCACAGGTAAAGTAGGAGGACTGGTGGCCAATGTCCTGCGGCTGCAAAGTTTGATAATATACGCTCAAGAAATCCCAGGAAGAGGACCACGCTCACCACCACAAAGGAAAGCAAAAACCGCCACAGTCCATACCAATCTGCAAGTGGGTCTGACCCTGACCAGGACAAGCTGTGCAGCTGGAGAATCATACAGAAATCTGGCTGGAAGGGACCTTGCGGACATCAACCCCCTGCCTGACGTAGCATCATCCCTATCCAACCCATTCCATACAAATCCATTGTTTGCCTCACCGGTCTAACAGTGAAGATTGTTTTTTTTCTGATATCCAGCCTAAACCTACTTTGCTGCAACTTCAAGTCACTGGTCTCTGTCCTGCTTTCTGCAGCAAGAAAGAAAAAGTGCCAGCCTCATATTTATGGCAGCTCTTCAAGTATTTGAAGACTGGTATCATGTCCCCTCTGAAGCACCTTTTCTGCAAACTGAACATGCTTATTTTCTTCAAGTCAGAATTTGGGAGGCACAAAGGTGGCTCAAAGCTAGTTTTTCACCCAACACAGGAAAGGAGTAGTGGCCTAGGTGCTTCATTTTGTCTGCCAGGGAAGCATATTTACTCCAGCTGCCTTTCCTATAAATTAATCCTTCCCTCCCAGGAAGGACTCCTACAGAAAAATATGGTAATACCTATATTCGTATGCTGGATAGGCACAAATCAAGGAAGCAGGAGATTCAGTCTATTTCTGGTTTTGTCCATGTCTTGAGGAGATTCTTCCCCTTTTCCACTGCTTTACAATTTGTGAAATGGGAATAATGCTACTTAACCTCACGCCTAAAGTGTTTTCAGATCCATAGATGAAAAATGCTAGCAATCCATATTAATCAATCATTCTCATTACTGTTGCCTGCCCCTGCTTGAGAATGAAACCTCTCCAGGAAAAAAGCTGCTCCTGCCAGTATACTAATGCCAGCAGGGGTGAACTGAGCATAGATCCATCAAATATGTATCCTCAAAATGCCAAATCTCAAACTGTAGAAATAAATAGGGTTTCAATTTAGCTTCCAAGAGCAATGCTGCTGACACCACCTCCCTCATTTTTCAAGTCACCACTAGAAGATTAATTTCAACCAACTTAGTATGTTTATAGTCTGTAATACTGGTAATTGTACCATTACAGTTTATAAGCTACAATCGCAAGTGGGTACCAAAATTACATTATAAAGAACATACAAATCTGGACATTAGAAATACAACATAAATAAAAGGGGTAGTTTCTTTCTACATGGCAAAGGTAGACAATTGCATTTTATAATGAATATGATGTAGAGAAAGGACATCTGAAGTGCCAGTTAATTACCATTAGCATACACAATCACAGTATTACTATTTTCTGAATATGAGTACACTTTGTTACTGTTGCTAGTATTTAATACTTTAATCCCACTCCACATGTGGCTTAAATTGTATTGTGATTAATTCTGGACCGTGAGCTAACTTGTTTGTATAACAGCTGCATCACACAGGTACATCAGAAATGCAATGCTAAATGAACTACATGCATGTATTACACTTCCCATATGAAGAAAACCAAGTTCCTTGATTCATTCCCCCAAATTTGAAAATATGCATTTTTCAATGGATTCTTATTTAAGGACTAATTCAAAAGGTATAGGAAATGATACAATGATACTTTACAAAGTCAAGTTTGTGCTTAATAATAAAGTTGAATGAGTTATATATCCACTGTGTTACCTGCTAAAATACATCAAGACTTTTTCATGTGATGGAATTATCTGAACCTTTGGGTTTAGCTGTAGGAAGACCCAACACAGCGTAGTTTTCAGTAGGCTGAATTCACTGAATGTAAATAACCTGCCAGGGAGAAAGGATTGATGAACATGATTGGCATCATCTATTGTATTATTATGTAATGAAAAGAACAAATACAAAAGATCACTTGGGACCATTAATCCAGGGGCATCAGGAGTGAAATTTTAGATTAGGCATCTGAAGGTATTTGGAAAATGGTAACACTGTGCATCTAAATTCAACTTTACAATGTAAATTAGATAAATATTGATCTGCTGCAATGCCTGGTAATAATCCATGATAATAATTGTCAAAGGTAAAGGGAAAACTTTTGTAATTCAGTTATGTTGGATGAAATTCAACCAAGTGCAGTGAGCGCATTATGCTATAGGCTTCAGTGGTCTTTCACATTGTGTCTGCTGCTGTTGTTGTAGTCATCAGCAGTCCCTTCATATAAGGATGACAGTCATCTAGCACCAGTGGGGAATACATCCTAGGTCACAGTGAAGGATGGTGATAGTGCTAGGCTGAATGAGTAGCAATAATGCTCTCAAGCAAGTGAGTCCCAGGACTACCCTGGCTATTTCAACCTGTCAAACTTGCTTATTTTTCCTAAACTAAAGACTAAATCCCATTTCCCCTTCGTATGCCTATTTGGTGCTGACATAACCACGTAATTGTAGGTTTGGGCATTATGCACAGCCTGGGATTCTATTTCCATCTGTGGCAGAACAGGCCTGCCACGAGCCCGTGCCTGGAAAAGAAACTTCTATCCTGCACCCTGCTCCCAATGGGGCAGAAAATATCCCAGTGCTGTTCATTCATTTTATCCAATGAATATTGCAGTGGGTCAAACTTTAAGGGGAGGGCTAGGGAGAGTCCTTTGGACACTGCCTAGCACATGGCCTGTTGGTTAGAGCACTAAGAAGCAGGAGATGCAGGTTCAAACCCTCTGGAAACCCTGGTCTCCTGCTCCCTTGATAACTGCCCTGGGGTAAAAGGTTGAAAGTCTCACAACCTGTTCCTCTTCCTCCAGTGTCTAACACTGGAAGGGAAGCATAGCTACAATGAATCCTAAACTGCATAAGAGCTGCAAACTGTGGTGTCACAGTTCTGGGTCCCCTACTACAGAAAGGACATGGACAAATTGAAGAGTCCAGCGAAGGAAAACAAAAATGGGTAGGGGGCTGGGACACATGGCTCATGAGTAGGGATCTACCTAAATCATGCCAGAAGTAGAGTGGCTTCTTTAATCTTGTTCTTTTTACCACATGCCCCCCCACTCCCCTGGCACTGATTGATGGAGGGACCCCAGTGGCCCCATTGCTTGCTGCTCACTCCTGATCAGCCAGGAGGCAAAACCCACAGTTTTAAATATGCCCCTTGCCACTGATTGGCAGAGGGGCCCCAGTGGCCCTGCCACTTGCCACTGATCAGCCAGGAGGCGGCAGGGGGGGCAGGAGGCTAAAAGTACATGATTAAAGGAGCCACTGCACAGCACTTTCCAGCATGATTTCGGTAGATCCCTACTTAGGAGGAGAGGCTGAGGGAACTGGGCTTACATAGACTGGAGAAAGATGATCGAGGGGGGATTTAATAATAACCTGAAGGGTGGTTACATAGAGGATGGAGCTAGACTGTTCTCATCTGAGTGGTGGCAGGTGACAGGACAAGGAGCAATGGTCTCAAGTTGCAGCAAAGGATGTTTAGGTTAGATATTAGGAGCATTTTTCTCACTAGGAGGGTAGTAAAACACTGGACCTGGCTACCCAGAGAGGCTTTGGATTCTGCATCCTTAGAGGCTTTTAAGACCTGGATAGACAAAACCTTGGCTGGGATGATTTCACTGGGGATGGTCCTGCTTTGAGCAGGGGGTTGGACTAGATGACCTCCTGAGGCATGGGCAACTGGTGCCTCCTGAGTTGGGGGGGAGGGGGGACTTGCCAGTCAGTGACCTCGGGGGCAGTCTATTCTGCAGTCGATTGCGCCTACCCAGAAGTGCCTGCGATGTGCCCAGAAGTGCCAGGGGCGCTTCTCCTGGTGCCCCCACTCCCTGGCCAGTGCTCCAGGGGGGGTGGGGGAAGCACCAGCGGTCCCGCCTCCCTCCCGCCTGTCACCCAAGTGGGGAACGCTGGCGGTCAGGGGGTTCACCAGCACTGTCAGGGGGTGCACATGAACTCACTACACGTCGCCACTGTCCTCAGGTCTCTTCCAACCCTAATTTTATTTGATTCTATGATCTCATTGACATCACCCCATTAAAATCATAAATACAACTACATTTTATTAACAATATCCTTACACCTCCTGAAATAGCATTACCTTCCTTCATGTATTACATCATATTTTCCTCCATGTTAAGCAATAAAGTTTTCTGTTATACATACATTGCCTTAGCATTAGGGAGAGGCAGGGTGTGGTGGCATGGAATTTAGGCATTGGAAGGGTAAAAGAAATAGGTTGGATTTGTGAGGAGTCATAGCATGGGAACCACACACCAACTTGCCTGTTGGGCAGGAGGATATCAGATAAGGGTGAGGAAAATTGGCAGCTTAGAAGGAGGTGCAGAGAATAAGCTGTGGTTGTGGTATAAACTAGCACTAGATATGTGTGGAAATAGAGGGGAGGCCCCTGCAACCTAAATAAAGACCTGCATATTGTAGGAACAAAGGCCAAGGTCTCTGTATTCAATACACCACACAAACAGAGCGCCAGAATCTACAGTGTTCAAATACATGGTTGAGAAGATAAAGTGAAAAGGGAAGTTTCAAGTTAGGGTGAAATGGCCTTCTTTTGGACCATAAGGGAGCTAAATGTATGCCAGTGAAAAAGAATGGGTTATTCAATGATGTGAGCGAAGGAACTCCATGATGACAGGCAGGAGCAGATGGCATGTGGAACTAAAAGGAAAGAAGGTCGTAGGCAGTCTTGAACTTCCAGTGGAAGAGACTTTAGTACAGGATCAATCAGTTCAAGGAAAAGTATAGCTTTACAATGTGGGAACTGAAATGGCTACATTATTAATAAAAAAAAAAAAAGGGCAAATGTCTTTGTGTTACTGCTAAAACCCAGATGGGGTTGATGCAAATGCCTGTCTTCGACAGGAAGAAGATTGACGTGACTGGTATCATCTAAGATCATCTAGGACCTTACAGGTTAAAATGTTTCCTGATTAAAGTATGCAGGAAGAACAGGTTAGACTGTGGTGAGAACTAGTTTTAATGTAACAGTGCTTGACACTAGCAAAAGATCATGAATACAGAGACTAGACTACAACACAGAATCTATTGGCTAAAAGTCCCAGTGACAATATAAGGAATAGTTCTAGGACCCTGATCAGAACAATTATCAGGATACTATTAGATTATAAAGAATTAAAGAAGATGAAAATATGGTGGCAGCACAACAGTGATGTTCTTCACTAGTCTAATGCTAGGCACTTGAATTAGCTTGCACATAAAGGAGACAATTTATTAATTAGTATCATAATACATTGCCTTTAAAAGCAGCTAGTTTCAGAACTTAGAAAGGAAAATAAAAATTTCAACCTTAGGTCATAAGAGTTGCATGGAGTTGAGTACAGTTAAGTTTGCAGAAATGCAATTAGGTTTCACATATTAATAGATGGCTACTCCTCAAAGAATAGCATGGGGCAATAAGTTTTAAAAGGCCACATTTCAAAACCAAGGAGTACTGAGTTGCATATTGAAGGGCCTTGAATCATTTTAAAAACTAGAAGCAGAGAAATGTCACACAGCTTCAAACAGAATCAGGGGCATACAAATAAGCTGTGATTGGAAAAGGCATATTTTCAAAAGTGTCTCTCTCTCTCAAACAATGCAAATAGGTTTGAATACAGACCAGATAAAGTACATATTCGAAACAAAAAGGGCATTTCTAATAGCCAAATTATAAAAAACACGCTACTTTAAAATTAATTAATTAATTTAAAAGTCCTAGAAGTACTGAAAGCAATGGATGTTAGTCCTGTGCTTTCATTAGCTAGGTAAGCAATAATCTTATTAGTCTCACTATCTAGTATGTGTATTATCGTAAATCTAGAGGCTCTGAGCAATATCAGGGCATTGTACACACAGTTAAGAAGAGATGCATATATATTGAAGAGCTTATTCTCTAAACAGAGAAGACATACAGGCAGATAGTGGGAGGGAAAGAGGAACACAAAGAAGCAAAGTGAATTTGTTGAAATCATGCAAAAAGGTGAATGGTAGAACTAGAAATACAACCCAACTCTGATTCTTGGTTCAGAATCCTACCCATTAAGCCAAGCTCCCTCTGGTTTTACAGCATGACTCACTACATAATGAAGACATAAGCTATAACTATTAGCAAAGGCCTGAATATGTGTGGGTTACTCTTTGCTGTACCAAGAAGTCAAGGGGGTAATTAAACAGGATAGTTAATGTGCAAGGAGGTAAATTAATTTTTGCAACACTCTAGGCTAGAGAATGTGGGGAGAATTTCTGCTCCCAGAGGAGTTTTCAAAGCAAGCTAGTTTAGTCTTAACAAAGATTAACATATCTCAGGCTGAAATGATGGAGTATTCGCAGCTTGAGAAACTCCAGTGCTGTAACCCCCTAGGACTGCAATAAGGAAGCAAAAGGGAATAAATTGTGAGGGAGTCACTTTTCGGAGCTGGTAGACCTGTGTTACAAGGCACACCATCTGTTGGATTAACTGGGGTATTCTGAAAAATATATGTTACAGAGAACAAACAGTTCAGTCGTAATGGGTAGAAAGAAAAAAAGACAACTTTTTTCCATTGATCTGTGCTGGTGAAGGAACCTGACTGCCGGGGTGGCATTAAATGCCAGTTCTGAGACAGTATAGACATATACTGGTTCCTTCTTTCCATTGGTTCCTTTCAATTCAAAAATTCTAGGAAATGCCAATTGTATTGTAATGAAAATGTATTATAATGTGGATAATGTGCATTTACACTGCCACTCTGCTGAGCCCAGGACTGTCATCAAGAAGCATGCACCTTCACTCACTCCCCAAAGGCATGGTCCCAAGTACTTGCCTCAGCTCTAGGCGCAGGCAAATGTACTGGCATGTGCGCAAGGCCTTTCTCAGATGGCTGCGTTGCTTCAGTTCCAGGGTTTGGCAGAAATGCGGAGTGGATGCAAGACATGACTCTCAGTGACACTCTGGGGTTTAGCATGCAGGACAAGCAAGCAGACAGGATATTAGCCTGTGTGAAGCGGCTAGTATTTGCTTTAGATTTGGATTCGGCCAATTCAGGGGATAATGATTCGATTCAGACATTCGAATCACTGTCCTGAATCGATTCCGCTGAATCTGATTCAGAGATTTGGCCGCTGCAAAACTGGCCGAATCCCTGAATCAGACAGGACCCATCCCCCGCCTGCTCCCCTAGCTCTGTCAATGGCTGCCCTGTCTGCCCCAGGTCTCGGGTCTTTAAACAAAAAAACAAAAAAGCCCCCACTCACCCACTACTGCCAGGCGAGGGGGGAGGGGGGCGATCTCCGCTATCCTCCTGCTACTCCATGCTGTGTGGGGGGCTCTGCCATGACCCCCCCCCCATGGCTGCCCTGCCCAGCCCCAGCTCCCAGTTCTTTGTGGGGGGAAAAAAAAGCCCTGAACTCACCAGCTCCTGCCAGATGTTAGGGGGCAACCCCCACTGCCCCAAACTGTGTGGGGGCTCTGCCATGAGCCCTCAGAAACCCCAACAGCTGCTGCAGCAGTCCTGCACTCGCTGGCTTTTTTTCCCCCTTCTTTTTAAAGAGCCGGGATGCTGGGGCCAGGAGGTTCAGCCATGGGGGGGGAGGCTGGGAAAGTGGGCAGGGGTTGGGGGGCACTCAGGGGGGCTGGGAGACCAGGTAGGGGATGGGGCCTGCCAGGGTCCCCCCATGGTCCCCTCCTCCCTCCTCTACTCCCCCCCTGCCCCTACTTACTGTCATGGAGTCCAGGTCCAGCTCCCTGAGGCAACGAGCAGGGACTGCCCGTATCTCTGATGCTCTCCAAATCTTTTCCGAATCAATCTGGAGAGCTTTGAATTGATTTGGACCTTTTTACTGATCTCCTGATTTGATTCAGATTTGGAGATTCAGCTGCCAAATCGGGCTGAATCTCCTCCGAATTGAATCAGCACCCAAAGCTTCACATACACTACAGGATATACCTTACTGCAATGGTTCTGGGTTTGTTGTAGACAAGCCCTATGCACCAAGAACTTGGCTATTATCATCTGCCTTCACATAGGTTTCCCAAACATCATAGAACCCCATTTTCAGATTCAAACCAGGGACTTGGAGGTAGAAAGCCCTCCATCATATTTACCCTCAGCCAGGCAGTCTATTGCAACGAAAAGAATATGGTACTATTTGCTCATTTTTAACTGTCAGCCTATTGAATGCAAGTCCTCACTTCTATTAACAACAGCACTTACCAGATGGGATTTTGCTGAAGAAACAGAGCATTTACCACAGGGAAAATGTGCCCATTTATGTCAGACAGAGTTCTTAGAAGCAAAGTGTTTAGCAGGCCAGGCTATTAATTTATTTTAACCTACATACCAGTCTACAAGTTGTTTTTAAAATGAAACTAATAGCAATTTGACCACAGGTTTTCAGTTTTATAGCTGTCATAGTTTTTTTTAGACAAACACCCTGTTCTTGGGGTTCTGCTATGTGACGACAGTATTTCCAACCATGTCAGAATGTTTTTAAAACTTTGGGGAAAGTCTTAGTTATCTCTTAAAAATAGATTCTTTTTATGTCTCTGCCTCAGGAAGTTGGAGAGTGACATGTGAATCACAGCTGTATTCAAACAGCTGCTCCTGTCTTCTGGGTTTCTGGAACTACATAAATAGGGGAGAATTCTTAGTCACTTCCCTTTGAGTTATGGTGCTCAGTTCCAGAAGATAGGACCATAATATGCAACTCCCACCTCCTTCACCTATACGCTCTGAACCATGACCACAATCCTGTCTGTGAGCCCCAAAGTATGTGCAAAGTGGGGCTGGGAGGAGAGAGAGAGGGAGAGAGATTTTTGGGACATTCACTTGAATAAACCTGTTGGCTTCTCAGAAGCCACTGTGAATGCAATACAAGATAGAGAAATAGGAGAACAGCTCCCATGTGATATTATGCATATTGTATGATAGAGAGAGGTGGTTAGCCCTGCTAGTCTGTATGACTCATGATGTAGGACATGGTAAGTTAAACGTCAGGTCCTTCTCTTCATTACACTAGTGTAAATCACTAGTAAACTTGTTGAATCAAGATTCAGCTTTAACTGCTCTATGCACTCACATAGAGGGAGAGGGCAAGCAAAACCTGATAGAAGTGGACTGTTCAAAGGACTTATTCCTATGCAGCAAACAGATTTCCTAGAGAGGAATACAGACAAGATTAAAAACCAATGCTCTGTCCTTATCCTCCTTGTCCTGCACTGGTGCATAGTGCACTCTATGTAATCCTACCCAGTTAAAGCTAAGCTGCTGCAGGAAATTACAACTACAGAAGCACAATCTTCTCCCTTGCTCTGGTCTGGCACAGCATAGTGTACAGATAACTCCATCTAAACTTATCAAAATCACTGCAAGAGGAATCTGAATTAGGTTCCAGGAAAATGCTTTATGCAACCATCCTATAGCTTGTAGGGAGAGGAATTCCACAGGGATGTTTTAGATAAGGATGATGCTGGCTTGAGCAAGTGGTTGCACTAGATTACCTCCTGAGGTCCTTCCATTTTTCACATGATTATATGATTGTGTAAAATAGGCACCTTTTCTACTTTAACTTTGGGGAATAAACTATAAAACAGACACCAGGTCCACAGAACTCAATTAACTTCAGAACTAATGATTTATCTAGTACTGATGTAATACTTTCAACCTTTTTTTCTAAAACCTGAAAACCTATAATAACAACATGATAAGGTAGCTATAGAAGTCAGGACTTCCGTGCAGCGGGTGAACTAGCTCCAGACTGCATTTTATATACGAGTAGGGACCTACTGGCGGAAGGAGAGTGCGCGGCGGCTCCTTTAATCTTGCATGTTCCCCAGCGTGCGCCTCGCCCCTCCCTCACTGCTGATTAGCGGAGGACCCCGCTGCTCCCTCCTGATCAGCAGGGAGGCTAAAACCATGGTTTTAAACATGGCGCTGGTTTTGCCTCCCTGTCAATCATCAGCAAACAGCAGAGCCAACCGGGGACCCCCAACCAACCAGCAGTGGGAGGCAAAAATGGTGCTATATTTAAAGCCACAGTTTTTGCCTCCCCACTGATCAGGAGCGTGCCACAAGCCGGGCTCCTCCACCAATCAGCTGGGGGGGAGGGCGGGGTGCCCAGCAGAACCTACAAGATAAAAAGAGCTATAGTGCGCCCCACTTCTGCCATGAATTTGGTAGGTCCCTACTGTGGACAGAGAGATCAGGCAAGTGTGTAGTTTAGCTATGGCACAACCGGATGGCTCCAAGTCAAGTGAAGTTGTGTAGATGATTCTCAGTCATGTGGGTGCAACCCCATAACTGTACATGATATGAAGCAACTTAGTAATATTAAGTTGTATGATCTCATTTTTATTATACAGTTGGCCTCCCTCCTTTTGTTCATCGTGCTCACTTGAGGGGGTCTCATCTGTGATTAAATTGTACTTATCACGTACACGTATCCTGTATATCTATACGGCACACTACACAGTGAAAACTCAGACACAGTCCGAAAGGGTCCATAGTGCACTTAAAGGTGGTGTCATGGGGTGGCAGTGAGGAATACAGAAAAGTCATGTACCCGGCAGTCAATGGAAGGCACAGCATTCTGACCTGGGAGATTTCAGCACTTTATGCAGTAGCTCTTGTGGTAGATTCTGCAGATGGATCTCAAAGCCAAGGTGAGAAACCAGGTTCAGCTCTAACCACCTTTCACAGTCTGTTTTCAGGTTTTCCTGTTTGTACTAATTAAAGAAATAGCAGAAGAGTTAAGCACGTGCAAAGAAATTTATAAACCCTGGGTACCACCTAGTGGTAGAAGCTGACAGTATTCAAGCTTGTGTCTAGAGCTCCAGCCAAATGAATAAAATAAAATAAAATACTTCCTATTTCACTAGATGGTGAAAATCTAAATGAAAAATCCTTCCTATTTCAGTAGAAGGTGCAAATATAAAGAATAGAAGCTGTAAGCACACAACGGATTAATGTCATTGTATTTTACTTCACCAGATTATTCCAATTAGGAAGAACTGGACAGTTGCAAAACTAGAGGGAAAGTGCTTTATGAAGCTGAACGTTGAAGTAAAAAACATCATTATAGTCCCACTTGGCTGTTCAATAGAATTCAAAAAATAATCTACCCAATCTTTTGATTTGCATTAGGCAACACAGACACATGCTGACTGTAGCAAAGGAATTAGCATAAATGAAAGAAATACCCATTACAATATAACAAACCAGTCACTGCCCATGAAATAATTTTCTAAGAGCTATCTAAAAACTTTAGGCCAGTCTAAACCTTCTTTAAACAGGTCTTGTGTCTCAGTCCTCTGAACTAAAATTCAGCTTGAAACAATACTGTTAAAGCCTCAATAGCATTTGTACCTCACCTTGCAAGCAGCAGAGTAATAACTACATACATTGGCTGATGAAATACCATTCTTCATTATGGATACACACCTACCACAGAAAGAAATACTTTGCTTTAAAAGAAAAATATAGAATATTAAAGTGATCTAGAAGAAAAGTTTCCAGCTATTACTGACTGCACTACTATGTCATTCTGTGATAATAGGAAACTAATTTCATTTATATGATAAACATATAGACATAATTTAAAATAGGCAAGACATTACACAAGATATAGGCATGGAGAAGGTTTCAGTACTGGGGATAATGAGAAAGGAGAAGATTTTGCTGATCCTGAAAGGAAGAAATAATGACACTCAGAAAGAAACTAGATATGGGAATAGAGAAGGGTTGTATTACAGGAAGGATTTTGAGTCATCAGTGGTTACACAGAAGGACACAGAAAGAAAAGAGTTCATAAGAAAAGGGAAAGAAATGTGGAAGAAATGAGCAGGAGTTTTAATACAGGGAGTACATGTAAATTATTGTAAAATCCCAAGGTGAAAGAGACCATAATTACTAACATTTATATCCAAAAGGTAGTTTTGCTTTCATACTACTGAGTCTAGATACCACTGAAGTCACTTTAAAACATGAATAAATGAATTTCAGTGTCACCCTGGTTTACTCTGTGGAAAAACTGCTGCATGTATTTGCTTTATTCTAATAACCCAAATCACTCAGTTTGGTCGGATCAGCGAGCCTATGTCTTCGTGTGCATGTACTGTTTTCTTTGGAGAAATAACATAATCTTATTTTTACTTGTGACTATTAAGCACAGCATGAAAGTTTCCAGTATCACCTTTAATGAGCTTTCCCTTTTTCTTTGGAGAACTTCTGGCATCTCCCTGTAAAGTGTTGCCTTTAGCCCAGATGGCTCAGCTATTTTAAGGCGAATACAAAGATGTAGAAACAAGCTGTTAATTATTTTAAGAATTACATTTTACTAGTGAGAATTAGGTTGACCTGTTCATAGCTCCTGAAGTCAACTACTCTTTAGCAAAAATGTCTCTCAGTCTGACAGCTCATAAAAATATATTTAATTTTAAAATATAAGTAATATTTTCCAGTAAAATAACACACCAAGATGATTCATGGCATAGCTGTTGACAGATCAATGTGTGTCTCCTTGTGTTTCCGTAAGGTGACAGAGCCACATATTTTTGCCATTCTCTCACCCTAAGAGTACTTGAGGCAAGGCTTTTGTGCCAAGAGACACAGAAACACAGCCCTGGAGAAGTAAAATAAACCATGTGCAGCATCTGGGCTACAGACAGTTCAAAACACTATTTTGCCATCAGGCTTCTGGCAACTGGTGGTAGTAAACCGCAGTTTTATGGCCTGCAGAGACAGAAGTGCTAGTGCAAAGCAGTGAGCATTTCAATGTATACCTTCAGGCAAATAAATAAGCAAATGAATAATAAGCATGTATGTTATCCTCCAGAGGCAGCCCAATTTTAAAAATGGTTCCAACGCTACTTCAGCCACACAGAAGAGACCTTGCCTGCATCAGATGACCTGACAATTGAATATGTTTATATTCTTGAATATGATCAGATGACTTGCAAATAACAGAATGATAACACTTTGAAAATCCAAAGTTTTATCAGAACTGTGGAACTGGGTGAAAGCCATGAGCCACACTGAGAGGCTGCATCCAGATATTCGCAGATGTTTGCTTCCCTGGGGACAAGTAGCAGCAGCACAAGGTGCATGGGCATTCCTCGGGGAAGGTGTGCTGCTGCTACTTGTACCCAGGCAACGCCCATGCCACACACGCTCTGGCATACAGCAGGTTACCCTGTGGGTGGATAGGGGAGGTGGGACCCAGCAACTGTGCTGGCCCTGGCAGCTGTACCTGGAGTCCTGGGAGCCCTGGGGAGTTGCAAATGTGGCACTGCTGTAGCAGGGTCCCTGGGCAGCAGCCTGAGTGTGGCTCTAGATGGCCAGGCTCTGGTTTTGGGTGGCATGCACTGCCACCACTTAGGCCACCCTGCTTTTTTCAGCATGGTTTTTTTTGACCCCAGTATCCTGGGGTAGCAATGCAGGGGACACCTGCATGTGCAGGGTGTGGTGTCACAGGTGGGTCTGCAGTGCCACATACTGCGTGTCCACGTTCATCTGGACATTGCCAGGGTGTGCTGTGTCTTTTCAATGAAACTTTCCACTGTCTTTGCATTGTTAAATCTTTCTCTGTGCTGAGTGATACAGCTCCTATACTTGCTATATCTAGTGGATACCAAAAATCATGAATTCAATATAGATATTGAATTTATGACACATTACAACCTGCCTGACATCTGATTCACCAGGTACCTGCCAGACCTGACCTCATATGCTCTATTTTCACTAATCCTCCCCTCCTTTTCTCCCCTTTGTCTTCCTAATTTCCAGCTATTTACTTTTTCACAGACAGCCTCTTTTCTACAGTGAAAATCTGCTACTGTAGAGTCCCTCTTATTCATCTTTGGCTTTTCTTCCCCTCTTTTTCTCCCCCTCCCTTCCCTGCTCTACCTTTTCTTAATTTCCACCCATTTACATCTCACTGGCATCCTATCATACTTTTAGCTTCTTTCTTCCTTAGAGTCTCAGAACAGCAGAAACTTCTTATGCCTGAAGAAGGGTGACTGTGCTTGAAAGCTTGCAGAAAACTTTTTTCCAACTACTCAGCTGGTCTAATAAAAGACATTATATCTACCCAAAGAACCTATGAAACTATGAAACTATGAAACCTTGCCTGCCACCGCTCTTATAAAAACATTTAAAAAAGATGCTAGGGATATTCTTTATTAATAAATTTTCATACTGGTCAAGAATCTCTAACTTTTCATAAAAAGGCTATTATCTTCATGTTAGTCCTCTGTAAAGTTCTGACAAGGAGACGCCGATAGGTTGTTTTTCATGTTTGCTATTAATTTTGTATAGCATTCTTATTACTATGCTAAGTTTGGGTGATTTAATGACGCAGAGTCCACACCGTTACCCTGATATCAACAGCTTAACTGTTTAATTGGAACTAAGCAGCATTTGAAGGATCCTGAGCAATGAAAGAATGGCACAACAGTTGTTGCTTGTCACAGCGGTGGATAGGTGTAAATTGGTCTTTGCTGATATAATTGCCTGCTGTGTTATTCTTTGTCTGCTGCTTCCCAACTATAAATGAAATTATTGTACCTGTCTGCAGGAAGATGAGGGTTAATTGACTGCTTTGTGCATTGTGCAATTTCGAAAGCTAGCACAAAGTAATTGCATGGTATATTCCCATGAGTCTTTGCTAATCAAAAGGGTTACCTTAAGATAACTAACACATATTTGATCTACTGATACGTGCCAAGTGCAGTTACAGTAGGAGGATTTTTGTTGCGTTCTATTGTTAAGCACAACACAATTGTAACTCTCACTGGGAGCCGGGTTATTCCAATATAACTGTGCAACTGAAATCACTTTTCAGGCAGTGCTCCCCTGTAGCACCGATTATGATCTGTTAAGTTTACCTTAACTTCAAGAACCAACATAAATTGCATTTGCAGTGCAGTACAGCATCAGTGGCTGGCAAATAAAACACTGTATTTCTTCTTGATGCTCTGACATACTGCTGCTCTAATTCTAAAAAGGACTAGATTTTACTCTCTTTCACCTTTGAAATGATTATATGTTGCATAAGGTGCTAGGAAGTACCACAGAAATAGCTAATGCAATCAGCAAGCATTACACTTAAATACGTGCTTGGAGGTATAGGAGTTTTGTACACAAGCCTCTAATGAAAAGCATTTTAAATTAGTAGCTCTACTCCCTTGTTTTAACACAAAAGTATAGGTGAATGAATGATCATGGAAAAACAAAAAAAATAATGGGAAGCCTAAAGTTATTTGATATTTGAGGGAGTTTTACGTCTTTATATAAGTGCAAAAGAGAAGAGATGCAAGGCAAGGGCAATGAACTTCTATGAGAGTTGGGCGTTGTTAGGTTTGGGGAGAGGTATTCAGGACACAACAGGTATATCTGCACCTCAGTGGCAGAGCACAGTCTCACTGCTGTCTCCAACCCCCCACTCCTGCTCTTCACACATTGACCTGGAAACGAGGCAGTGGGGTTGCGCGGGGGCACTCAAGATTGGGAATGCAGTGTGCTCAGAAGCACTGCCTCACTGCCAGGGGTCGCGCAGACCAAGTGGGAGTGGGTAGGTGGGCATGATATGCAGTAGTGCCAACTCTTATAAAAAACCACAAGACACCTGATTTCCAAGTCAAATTAACTCTGACTCATGATCTCCTGATAGAGAGATCAAAGCTTGGGGTTTTTTTCTTCTGGTGCATGTAGAAAGCACCGAGCTGGTAAGTCTGTGGAGGGGAAGGGGTAGTGGGGGCAGATCGAGACCCCCCTGGAGAGGGAGGGAATGGGGCTGGGGTGAATGGGGCCCCAGGGCCAGGATGACTTATACAATAGGGTCGTGGACGGTTGTCTGTCTGTGTGAATGTGTCCGTGTGTTTGTATACGTGTGTCTGCCCCTCACTCTGAAACCGTAGCCTCACTAGCCCTTGCTGCTGCCCCTCACTCCTGCCCCACAATACCCAGCTTCCTGCCAGGGTGTGCAGGGACCTGCGTCCTGGGCTTCAAACCCCCACAGCCCTCCACACCTTCCCAAATAACTCCCCCCTCACACACACACACACACACACACTTCAAAAATAGCATCTCATCATTTATATTCCAAATCTCTTGATTTTTAAGAATTTGTCTCATGATTTTTGACACAGTGTGGTTGGCAATACTGGATATACAATGAGATGCTGTGAACTACCTGTACTGATATTACTGAAAAAAATCCAATCACCCTATCTATTAGGGCTGTGCAAAACTTCATTCCCTGATTCAATTTGGTGGAGATTCGGCTCGATTCAGTGTCTGAATCTGAATCTGAATCAAATCAGAGGACCCTTGAATCTCTCCAAATTGAATCAGAACCCTCCAAATCAATTCGCAGAGGTTTATAAAGATTCAGCGATTCGGACATAGAGACAGCTTTAAATGTTTTTTCTACATACCTCTAGATACCAGGGGCTCGTACGTGCTGCGATGCTGGGGTGCATGGAGCGTCCCTCAGAAGTGTGGGGGGCTCCCCAGCACGCTTGGCAGCAGACCCACAAGTGTACTAGAAGCACTTCTGGTCCACTTCCAGTATTTCCGGTCCACTTCCAGGTTCACTGCCAAGCATGTGGAGCCCCCCCGCACTCCTGCAGGATGCTCCATCTGCCCCAGCATCGCAGCGTTCACAAGCCGTGCTGGTACCTCGAGGTATGTAGAAAAAACATTTAAAGCTGTGTCTATGTCTGAATCACTGATTCTCTGAATCTGCAGATTTGGACTTGGCCAAATTGAATCAGGGACAGTGATTCGAATTAATGAATCAAATCAGTGGCCCTGATTCAGGTCAAATCTAAATCTGAACCAAATAGGGCCCATTTTGCACACCCCTCCTATCTATGCACAAGGCTTCTCAACAGAATTAGCAGCCCTGTTCCACACCAAATCTATCACAAATATCCTATCATGTCTGAAAGAAGTGGACACTTATTTTCTCTTTCTATCCTTCTTATATAATATATAATATATCTATATCTATATCTATATATATAGATATAGATATAGATATAGATATAGATATAGATATAGATATAGATAAAACCTGGGGTCCCTCTTCTGTTCCTAAGATTCATCCAGCTTCTGATGCAGATTTTGTATACCTTAATACTCTGATAGCAAGGCTCCTTAAAATATACACATTCTAGGTGTGGTTTTATAAGGAATCCACGTGTGGAGACAACAGACACAATACTCATACACTATGTCACCTGAGAAACCAGGAACAGGGTTCTGATCTTTCATTTTCAAAAGCACATGTCTCTACCACTTCACATAGAGGGGAAAAAAAGCCCTGCAGTGACAGGAGAAGCAGACCCAGCACCTTCAGGAAGGAAAAGTCCACTTACTTCTGGAACAGGCTAGGAAACTGCAGCGCTGACGCAGCTGCCAGGACTGCCAAAACATCAGCTTCTTCTACTTCTGGTTCTGTATTGTATAAATTCTTGAGTGCTATAGCAAAGCCTTCCCAATGCATGCAAAAGAAAAAATAAAGAGCTTCAGCATTAGGTTTTCACCCCTTCAACTGGGGATAGACTTTGCATAGAGCAAATTAAGCTTCCCCTTTTCTGTCTGGTAAATTATACACTGGTTAAAAAAAGCTCTGGTGCAGCAGGGCCTTGCTATTAGCATCATGCTTGCCTAAGTTATGAGCGAGTAATCCAAGCCTTATATACAGGGCCCCAGAATTGTTAGTACCAAAATGATACCATCTGAATGATAAATCCTCCCAGAAATCCCTGTCTCAAGAAAAATAAAGATGCTGAAAAAAGCCTTCTGAATTTTCCAGTTAATAGCTATCAGAAGCCACCCCCACCTTCTTTCCGAGGTAGTCTATGTTCTTGCTCTTACAATGGCGTGCGACCCGCGTGTGGACTCTAGGCCACAAGCTAAGCACAGAACTGTGCCTGGTGATAAAATTCACTCCTGCACTGTGGATCAGCACAAGGCCTCTGCTCTCCTTTAATAGGACTAAATGATATTTTGTCTGTCACTAGCATGAGACTTAGGAACTACTTTGTGGAGCCTACTGGACTGAAAGAAGAAAGTGAAACCTGAAATGTACCCCTTTCACAGGTGGCTTCGTTTCTGACGGAGAGGGAAGCAAGAAGATTTCAAAGTAAGCCTAATCTCCTGGATTAGGCCAAAGGGGAACACTGGAATTAGGTCTTGGAATACTGAATATATGAGGCCATAAAACAGCGCTACATAAATATTTGGAGGGCTGGGAAAGAGGTAGACTACTGCCCTGCATACCCCTGGGCCCTTTAAGAACATTTTGGTCTGCCACTTGAAACCCGATTCTGATATCTGCTTCACTTGCATTTGGGACCTGATCAAAGCACCAAACTTCAGTATCACTTGTAAGCCATACTATTCAGAAACCCCACTAAAAATAAGCAAATATAACAAAATGCCAAATGCTTATTTTAATCTGGCATTTCAGAGCTGTCAGAAGAGAAAACAAGTGTATTTTTCCCCTTAGAGCCATGACGGTTAAATTAATGCAAGCATGTTGCTGACCTAATGAAATGTCCACTATGTCTTTGGGTGATAGTAATGATTTAATAGATGGTTTGATATATCTACATTACCAACTCTAGTGATTTCTGGGTCTTGAATGTCCAATGAAATAGTGACTGCTCGCAATTTTGGGTTTTCTTTAGCATATTCTTTACTTTTCTGGGCAGCCAGACTAGACTGATTATTGTATTTGTTTCCTGCCAAGAAACAAGTTTGATATATATGAACATTTGCATGGTATTTATATGGCATCATAATCACCATAAATATTCTAAAATACTTTGCTGCACAACTCACTCTGGCAAGCAGTAATTCAGGCTTAAAGAAACATGCAGTGCACAAAAAACAGACATTTTTCCAGCAACAGAATTGCCAACCTTTTCTGGCACTCATAACAAACAGAGAAACTAATTGATCAAGGAAACCTAGCCACTTTCTCACTGAGCATTAGTCCCTCCAAAATTAGGCTGAGGGCACTGGCCAGGGTTTCCATTGACTTCCTTAAGCATGGAGTTAGGCTCTATATTCTTATTGTAATAAAAAATAGACAAAGGAAAAGCCTTCTGTAGTCTATATCCATTTATTTTTCTCCTGCTGAAATAGTAACCCAGAATTCAGGAGCCTCCAGAAGTCACAAGAACTCCATGTGATGCATGGTGCTGATCAATGAGAAGCAGACGCTGATCAAGAGAGCCAAACCTTAATTCTAAGGGATGCAACCTTGATTTCTATTTATCTTCTCTTTTCCCAGAAAACAAGAAAAGGCTTCCCTATATTTCCATTAGATACTGCTTAGAATACCTTTTATGCTTTCCAAATCACTTGGGCTACTTGACTCGACTGCTGTAATTAAAAGCTGTGACAGTGTCTTGGATTTAAATAGATAGATACGATGAAGATCCCACAAGAAGCCCAAGCATTTTAAGGACACATCTAAAAAGACAGAATTCCTTGTTAATTAAAACATATGTATTAAAATGCAGCTAATAAAATTGAAGATAGGTACCCCATTCAGAATGCAGAGAAATCCCAGGGAAAATCTTCTCTTCAGCTCATTATTTCCATGGCAGTATCTGAGATGACTCACCTGGATCCATGTCTTCACCCAGCTTCTGTGTGTGGGAAAAGAGGACTTCTTTTGTTTTGGGTAGATGGGTTTGTAACCTTCAAGAAGAGAAAAGGAGGCAAAACTTTAACTAAAAGTTAAGTCCACTTCTACTCGTTCCAACATGTGTTCCTTTTTAAACTAGGATAAAAAATGTAAGCATTTTTTCTGTTACCTATCCAGCTTGCTGCCCTTTTGAACCTGTTGTGATAAGTGTGTCTTAGTCTTACAGAGTTGTGTCTGAATTTTCAGTTTTGGGGTCAAGTCCTCTGATTCATCAAACAGAGATACAGGTGTATCAGCTGAAGAATTAGAGAGAGCATATATTAGTGACTGAGCAGAGATATAAATGTAAGCTAAATTTCAGGCTGGAAAACTTGAGACAGTGGGTTGTGGATTCCGCTTAGAAAAAGAAGGCATTTTTCCATAAAGAACAAAAACTGGATTGATTACATTCACTTAACAAGATCCCCAAGTGTTGAGTTCTTGACTGAGAATTAGATGGCTTACAATGTTGGCTTCATTTGCAGAAAAAAGACACTTTAAAATCTTAGGAAGAATTAAAACACAGCAAAAATAATTAACACCTATCCCAAATTAAGCAAGGCAAGGCATTCTTAAGATACAAAAAAGCACTAGAAGTTGAGATTCATGGGTTCAGCTCCTGGCCACAGACTTTGAGGGTGACTGTAGATAATTACTAGGGTCAGGCAAAGCATTTAATTCCTTTCTTTATATTAGCTACATACTTAATCCTTTTGGCTTTCCCAAATAGGTGCCTAAATCCATTCTTGCCTCTAATGGAAAAATAAACCCAATGCTATACTTGACTAATGTGTAAGTGTACAATACAGTGGTGGGAAAAAGGTTGAAAAGTCTGTAAAGGTAATATACCTTTACTCTGGACAAGTTAAAAGCCCATCCTCAATTACCCCCAGCACAAGAGCTGCCTCTCCCTGTCCTTTCTACATTATTGTACTGCAGCAGTATTTGGGAACCTCAAAAGAGGAGACAAGCAGCGTGCAGACTGATTCCCAGAAGAATAAGAAAAGAGAATGGAGTCATGTAGGACTCTAACGTGCTGCTTTTCTCTTCCTATTGTACTTGGCTCTTACCATGGCCATACTGAAAGCAGGGAGAGGAAGGCCTGCTGGTGGATTTCCTGGAGGAGCTGAGAAAACACGGCAAGGGAAATAGGCCACGAAGTTCAGGAGAGAGTCAGAGTGGGACTGAAGTCTGAGAGCAAAAAGATAAAGGGATAGGTTGGATGAAGGGCCAGCCCAAATAGCACCACAGACGTCCAAGTGCCTCAAGCCTGTTCCCATGTCCTAGCCCCTGTACACTTAAAGGAGCAGTATCTGAATTTTCATGTCTTATTGCCAGTATAATCATATTAAAATATTCAAACATTATGAGTCAATCCCAAAATATTGGCTCCAAAACATGAGATGAAAAGAAAAATAATAATCACTTTTTCTTTGCCATCTGGGTTTTTTTTTGAGCCTGTATGGGACTCTCAGGACACATTTTCAAACTTGTCTCAGCAATCTCACGGGCTAGACACTTACTGTAGTTTTTGAACTGGCTAAACCGTCCAGGCCGTTAAGTCAAACATCACCTACCACAGGACTCCAAATAACATCATGAGACCTAGCAACACCATTGCAAATTGGGGAAATAAGCAAGCCATCTGCCTTTAGCAGAAGAGCCCTTGAGGAGGTTGCAAGGAAAAGGCCAATCACCTGATACCACATACAGATCATGCCTTGCAGATCCACTCCAGATCAGCAAAGAAGGAAAATGGAGATTGTGCAGGCTCCATGAATCTAGCCCAGGAATGTAGTGCCCTCTGTTTGTCCCTGGAATACCAAACCAAAACTAGAGGAGGGTTTTGGTTACAGCAGTTTTCCACAAGGAGTAAGAAGTACCCTGGGATGAGATGTGATCTGGAGAGACAGATTTCAAATTAATTTCCATAAACATCAAGTCTCGGGAGTTCTTATCCAGTTTAAGTCTAAAGTCAGATAATGCCTTGATATTTTTGAGCAGCTAAATTGGAGGATAATTTCTGGAAAAAAGCATAATGTTCAGTTTGACAGCTGGATGCTGAATCCACACCCATTCAATGTTCAGAGGCATTCAGTACTGCTTTAAGACCTATGTCTACTTAAAATTACATTTCCCCCCATTTTCCTACCTGTCATCATCCTTCTGAGGGTCTCATTGAGGCCAGCTGTATAAGCCTTATTGGCCTGTGCAGCTCCTAAGAGATCACAACTTAAGTCATAAGGAAACTGCCAGCGATTGTTCAAACCAGCCTGTATACGGAAGCAGCGTTGTCTCAAGGGCCAGGCAGCCTTAAACAAATATATAGACAGATCCTTGTCAGACATGTGCATAAGCAGGGGGCTTCCACCCCACAAGATTGTACTTGTAAAAAATATTAAGCTAAATCTACAAAATATACAACAGTTACAACTTCTCAGAGATAGGGTAAAACCAGGATACTGCAAAAACCCTTCCCTGACTTGGATTCTGGGAAGATGTGCTAGAGCTCACAAACACACCAGACCTCATTCAACCATCCTGCCTTCTCTGTGGCCATTCTGCACCTGTACACTGAAGAGACATCTATACTACCTCCGACCATTTGTAAGGAGTGGTGCCATTAAACATGCCCTGTCCACACGCTGCCAGCCATCTCAACCAAATAGCAAAACAAAGTAGCTACCATTAAAGTGGGGCTGGGCGCCTGGCTCCAGCAAGCACACCCAGCAAGTCTGAGAAGCTGAGAGCAGAGCTGAGCGTGTCCTAGGCACATTGTTGGCATTTGTCATGTGTCGAGTGAGAGCAAATGGACCTTGCATATTTTCAAGGTGGCGCTCTTCAGCATAGCTGAGGGCAATGTAGACATACTTTAAAAGGACTGTGATATTAGAAAGAAGAAGGATTGATTGGGTTTGAAAGGAGAGTTGCATCCTTTGTATGATCACACACATTAGAGGTCTCAAACTCATCTGGCTCTGTGGGTTGGATGACTGGTGCAGAACTAGCCCACAGGCCATATCATGCCCACAAATCTCCCTCCACACCCATGTGCTGGATCCAGTGCATGTGGCACCCACCAGAGCGAGTGTGCTGTGCAGTGCAGCCCAGGACCCGGCCCAAGTGAACACCATGGGTGGCGCAGCCCAGGACCCAACCCCAGTGAGTGCTGTGGGTGGCTTGGCCCAAGACCCAACCTCAGTGAGAGCCTCATGCAGAGCAGGGCCAGTCAGGTACAATGTGCGAGTCAATGGGGCCAGACAAGGGATCAGATTATGGTGATCCAGCCCACAGGCCATGTGTTTAACACCCCAATATAAACTTTTATACAGGAATTCTTCCAAGATCATTTTCAGTGTTTCATCTTTTTCTTATGTGCATGTGGAAGTAACATTGTCTCTATTTTATTTACTTCCTATATTTCACTTCTGTTGTCATCATTCAGTAGGCTGATAAAGTATATCAGTGGTTGGGGTGAAAGTCTGTACTTTTGGGCATGTTTATCCAATACATGGGCAAATATGTAGTTAAGTGAAATAAGGGACCGGAGTAAAAGGGGAGAGATGCCAGATGGTGAAGTAGACGGTGCAATGAACCTAATCACTAGTATCTCCAAAGGCTGATGTCCAGTGAAGATGGCCAACAGGCCCAAAAGATTCATGTTTACCTCTGGAAACCCCAAAAATGACTGGTGGGCCATAGTAGTCTAGAGCAGGGGCAGGCAATTATTTTGGGCAGAGGGCCGCTTACTGACTTTTGGCACGCCATCGAGGGCTGCATGACAGCTGCCCAAGGCAGATAAATATTTTCTAAATTTTTTAGGGGCCCTGTGCACTGGATAGAATGGCCGGGCATGCCACATCTGGCCCCTGGGCCACATTTTGCCCACCCCTGGTCTAGAGAAAAAGAGGGTGGAGTTCCCTAAAGCTTTATAGATTGAGCTTTCAGGGTAAAAGGTGAGAGGATTCAAAGGTAGGCTGGATTCATGTGTGGGCCGAAATGAGCCAACACTGAATATTGGTTACTTCACTTGAAGTCACTGAATGCTGCTCTGGACACAAGTAACTGGCTTGTATTTGGGGAGAATAGAGTACTTATTCCTTTCTACAGAAAGAAAAGGCTAAATAAGGGTGTAGCCTTTGGCTCTTAAACTCACCCGCCTCTTCCATTTTCCTATGTATCGTGAACCTTATGATAACTTATGACACCCCAAAACTGGACCCTACTGCCAACTGTCATGATTTGCAATGGATGCGGCTTGAAGCACAATTGCTGTATTTCTTGGATGATTTCTACTCTATGGAACCTGAGACTTCTTAAGAGCCTGCCTGCATAAATATTAGATAAAAGATACATATGGGTAATGATTTTTATCATTACTACTTAACTACCAGCATGCAATGGGAGGATAGATCATAATCTCCAGTTGCAAGAATCAATCATTTGGGAATAACGGTTTAGAGATTCTAATGTTATTTAACCATTAACTCCATGGCCAGTAAGACATAAGGGTCTATCTGAAGCTGCTATACCTACCTTGGATATTTTCTTCTCACTTGGTGAAAGTGCTCCAAGAGCTGCAAAAGGAGCTGTGAGTAAATAGCTGAAGGGTAAAGGAACAGAGTCAACTTGTCAAGAAAATACACTCTTCACCAAGGTTATGTGCATGTAGGTAGAGCAAAGCAAGACAATTTTAGCATGTATAGTGTTACTCAGATCTGTCTAATGAACAGGGATCAAATTCTATCCCTAATTAAATCAACAGGAATGGTAATTGCACAGACAATTCTGAAAACAATCTGATCATTTTTTCAGTTAAAACTAGGGATGGTGGGGGCTTGGTATCTTTGTAAATTGGGTCCTAGCTGTCTCTCACCGAAGCACTATGCATTAGCAAGCACCTCTGAAAATTAAGCCTTTGCTTTGTACCTAGTTCTCCATATTTCTACAAGGATAATACTTGCTACCTCACAGGAGCGTTCTCAAGGAGCCAGGAGACTCCAAAACAGGACAAAGATGAAGCAGTATGTAAAAGGGCAGAAAGATATTTTTCTACGTTATGACTGGAGCAGTTGTATAGTGCTGTAGAACTCAATTAAAGGGAAAAAACAAAGAATACTCTTTATGGTAGGAAGCAGTGTCTATCACTAGACATTCAGTAGGAAATCTCCCTGTTCCTTTCAAATACAACTGAGAACCTTAACTTTTACTTACAAGTTTTTTGATTTACTATCTATAGTAGGCATTTGGGGAACAAAAGTTGTCAGCTGTGCTAAATCTGGTGATTTCCAATCATCCATGAAATTAGCAGTGCTCCTTCGATTCGCCATGATGAGTAACACTAATAATAGTACACTTCCTTAAGCAGTGCAGTGCCAGGTGGGGCGTTGCTAACTGACTGCAGAAAGCTCCCAGTTGCCTTTTCTCCTCATTCCTCTGCTTTGCTTTAATTCTAGAAAATCTGCTGCCTCACGTTTCCATGGGCGACAGGAAACAGTCTCTATGGCAACACAAGAAACCATTCTGATGTTTATCAGTGGTCCATCTAGAAGCAGAATCTACAAATTCTACCCAGAGTGGCATCATGACGTTCTTGAAGAAATTATATATAAAACATTCTGCATTGACAGTACTAGAAACACTGTATTTTGATAATAATTCTTGATTAACAATCAATTTTGGGGATGTCAGTTATCTAGTTCTTAAATAATTCAGCATACATTTTATTTCTATTGGACAGTGCTAAATTATTAATCTGAATGTTTTATCATACTAATCTAGTTGTGTTACTGCAAAAGTCTAAGTACATTCCATCTACACACTTACCTTCATTGGCCAAACCGTCTAAGCTCAGAGAAGAACATCAGGTTGGTTTAACAAAATCTGTTCTCTGTAAAATCATATTGACTGGTATTAATTGTGGTCAGATCCATTCATGCCATATGAATTAGAACTCCTATCCGCTTTTTCTTTGTTTTTCATGGGACTGATACCAAACTAACGGACCTAGCTGGCCTTTCAGCAGCACTGTTCTAGCTATACTGTATGTAAACACTATTGTTGCTAACATATTTAACACGGTTACTCTAAGTAGAGTGCACAGTAGTACAACGCTTCCCAAGTGTACTATAGACTTTTTTCCTCTAGCTGACCTAAAATACTGATATTTTTACAAAATGATTCATACACCAGTGTTCTGGATCATCGCTGGGCAAGTGCATGTGTTTGTAATGTGGTTAAATTCATTTGTGCCCAAAAGCTTGCAATTAAAGATTTTTTGTTGTTGTTGCAAAAATCGAGTTAGTTTAATAAAAAATATCACCTCTACCATGAATTCTGATTCCTTTGTAATACGGTACCTTTAGATAGGCTGGAGGGTCCTGGAAACTGAGCCCAGGACTGCTAATTCAAAAAATAAAACCTGACTATATAAGCTAAAAGATTTACCATTAGTTCATACCAACTAGCGACCAAAACACTGGCTTGCATCCATAGATGCTTCTCAAGCAAATCCCAGGATGTCCTTCTCCCCCTGTACTCAGCCTTGGTGAGGCCGCAGCTGGAGTACTGCGTCCAGTTTTGGGCTCCACAATTCAAAAAGGATGTGGAGAAGCTTGAGAGAGTCCAGAGAAGAGCCACGCGCATGATCAGAGGTCAGGAAAACAGACCTTACGACGACAGGCTGAGAGCCATGGGGCTCTTTAGCTTGGAAAAGCGCAGGCTCAGGGGTGATCTGATGCCCACCTACAAGTTTATCAAGGGTGACCACCAGTATCTGGGGCAACGTTTGTTCACCAGA